CCCCCCCCTTCCTTCAAATAATCCTGGATCCGCCCCTGTACAATGTAACTTAGGTGGGAGGAGGAGGAGGAGGGGAGGTAGGCCTATTGATTTTCAACATTCAACGTTACATTTGACACACGCTCAACTATAGCTGTTGAACCTTGTTTTTTTTATCGAGGCTGATGTCAACCAGCAGGATTTTAATTGATGTACAACTCGTAAAAATACCATATAATCTAAATTGGCATGATGTCTGTCATTTTAACAAAAATGGCAACTCAGATTAGTGGCATTTTGGACTTCCAAGGGTCCAAATTGAGTCATTTAGACACGTTTTCTTTTCTAATATAACCTTTCATAGAGTCGTATATATGTAAAAAATAACAAACAGGATTGAGAAAGTATTTGTCTATGCCTTAATCTTTATTTTTTTTAACACGACTGCTTGGAAAAGCAGGCATATTTCGTCTATTTTCTACCAAAATTTACGGCTTATGACCGTCGTCTCTTAATGAGATTAATTTTAGATATTATTATCGTAGCCTAGATATGGAGATTCAAGATAGAAGACCATGCGCCGCTAACTGTAGGCTATTTTCTTGAACGCTCTCAGGTCATATTTACAAAGACACCCGGCTCTCTCATTTCTAAAACCCTAGTAAGATTTAATGGCTTGGGAATAAGCGGGACCGATAGGATTTCAACCATTTCTTAAAGTTTTGTTCTACGTAACTGTTTTTCCTTCTCTGAATAGCAGAGACGTATAAAATTTCAGTATTTTCATTTAATTTTCATACGCTAGTTAACCAGATTAAGACCAGGGAGTTAATGAAAAGCGCTTTATCGTGAACTCTGACACCTGATGCTTCACAGAAAATTTTCACGGTCTACCGAATATATTTATTTATTTTTAGAAACGGTCTTGCATGTTTTCAAAAAACCCAATTATTATGTGCATTATTCATAATAATTGATACTTCAAAGTTAGCCGTTGAATCAATAGGGATGATATAACGTCTGGGAGATATTTCGTCCAAGGCTCACCTGAAGAGGGTGTTCACCTTGAAATATTTTTAGGGACACTACAGGTGACAATACACTTAGTCCCCTTTTGCATACCATGTTTATTCGTTTCCATAAATACCAGGTTGCTACACACCATTCTCTAAAGCCGGCCTGTAAAGAGTATAACAAACGACGCCTTGTTTTGGACGCTATTTTTAGTGAAGTTTACCTTCATTTAGAGTGAGCTATTATTCGTTCGGCTGATTAGATTTATAAAGATATACGAGAATAGTATTGTGGGTTTTGTTTGTTTAATATCGCCAATTGCTCTTTCGTTTTTTTCACCCTGTGATCTTTTTCTTCATGAAAAATAACAACATGAGTCCGATATCAAGTGCAAGTTTTTGGACGTCGCTGACGGTGAATTTCACTATAAATCCGCTGCATGTGTACGGAAACACGCATTTAGTAAAATCTAACTTATTGCGGTGCTATTCTCTTTATTTTAAGGTTAAGTCAACAAAGGTAAGTAAGATTGGTTTTAATTGCATTTAATATTTGAGTACTATGGCAAAAAAAAAAAAAAAAAAAAAAAAAAAATTATATAGGTCCGACGGGCCAGAATTCGGGGGAAGTTAAGATTGTGCGATCCTTTTTTTTTTTTTTTTTGCATCAGTCATACTTGGCAAATAACGGTGTCTCAGCGCGTGTCAATAGTGTCACAATGATTTACTTTCTCGAGGTGACTCTTTTGGCAGTTTTCGTAGGACTTTCAAATCTGGGTATTAAAAAGGAAAACAGAAATTATTTAGAGGTATCAAATTTAAAAAAAGAACTAATGCTGAGTATAAATTCTTGAAAGTTTCTCATTGTACTTTTTATGCTTGCTTGTAAGAAAATACCCATTAACGTTGACAACATTGAAATGGTTCTTCTAGAATTCCACAAATGCCAGTGAATTTCTAATTTAACGAATTCCATAGATGTAACTGTTCTTTAATGCATAGCGCACGGTTTATTTACACGCTTAATGAATTGCAGTTGACACTGTCAACAGTTGCATCAACTCGTGTATTACTTTCGCACGAACTGTTTTTTAATCAGCACTGATGCGGTTATATGTGGTAACATACACACGTAAAAAAAGAAGGGGACTCTCTTAAAAGGACGTCGATTACTTGATTTAACTGCGGATGTATTGTTTCGAGAAACTCCAGCGCATATGTTAACCCTTTTATAAGTAATGGCAATTCTTGTGCGTGTCTAGATTTTGATGTTGTTTCTTTTCTTAAAAATTAACTTCACAATTTTGTTTAATGATCAAAATCACGATATTTTTTCAATAGGAACATGTTTGACTATTAAAGAATAAGCGTTTTACTTTGCTGCATTTAAACACCACTATATTTTTTTCTTAAATGATTTCGCAATCAAACACCCTAGAGTTTACTCGATGAAGGGCTAAAGTGCTGATTGTTGATTTAATCCACGTGAGGTACCGTAATAAATGCTTGATTATATATGTACTTTAATTGATGCTCTCAACCCCTGCACCATGGAGTAGATCTTCCATATATCTGTTCACGACTACTTGACATTCAGAACAGCACTTTACACTTCGAGTTGGGCTTGTCAATACAACCGTCTTTAAATACCTGTCAGAATTTTAAGATAACAGGATAAGGAGATGATCAAACTCAGTAAGGACATCCTCCCCCCAACTCCTTGCCGAATAAGAAAAAAAAAGTATGTGAAACTTTTGATCAAAGAAGCTTGTTTTAAAATGTGCAAATAACAGATAGAAAGGAATGTAAAGGGGCATCCAACACCGACTGGATATTTTGTTCCGACAGAGGTGTGAAAATCCAAGTTTAAATTCACCTTCACTGATATGGAAAATTTGATGTTTGCATAGAAATCAAGACAGACTAATAGGCGCCGATAAATTCTATTTTGCACGTACATCTTGCCCCGTTTGCCACCCGGCTAAACTGTGTGGGTCAATAATGCTATAACTTCAGGAAAATAATGCAAACTACACCCTTTGTGTGTAGGCAATAGGGCGCAGTAAATTGATCCCCTGTTCATTGCAGGCAGATAAAATAACACTTTAAGCGAACACACCGGCCACTATAACTGTTGTATATCAGGGATAGTTGACAATGTTTCTTAGGGGACACAGGGTGAATTTTCATGAGTTTTTAAGGGAGGTCTCATCCTAGTAGTCGACATTTTAAAGTCTGAAATTGTCACTTACCTTTGTTTACCTTTCTACCTCTTGGCGCCATCTTAATGAGAAATTTTCATTAATTTTTAAAGGGAGGTCTCATCTCAGGCGTCGACATTTATATTTTAAGTCTAAAATTGCCTCTCACCTTTGTTTACTTTTCTGCCTCTTGGCGTTATCTTAATGAGGAATGATAACATTAAACAAAAGATGTGTTTAAACTCAAACAAGGAAACTTTAATAAGATAACGGTGTCTTTTTCTCACAGGCTATAACTTCAGCTCTCGTTGTTCGCACTTGGTATTTTTAAGAAGTAGAAGTTCTGCTCTTTCAGAAAAGGCCTGCTCTTTCAATGATTATTCACTGCGTGTACTTTCTCTTTTATAAATGTTCAAACATACTGATATAAACGCGCCAGTAAAAATTTAATACTGAAAATAATCAAAGGCACCGATGAGGGCATTAGTACACCCAATTGTATACCTTCAATCACCCCCAATATCACCACACGCAGCTTTTAAAAACATCTATCCTCCTCCCTTCCCCAAATATACCCGTGGCCCACCCGATACAAATATATAGATCTTCAGCGAGCGCTGTGTATTGACACTATACAAGTGCGCTGCCAATGGAAACAGGCGGAAGAATAGGAAGCAATGACACATTGCCGGCAGTAGGACATTGTTTGAAATTAGGTAATTTTTAATTGTAAGAAAACTCTGAAACTTAATATACCTAGAGCCAAAGTTGGTAATACACTCATGGGAATTTGACTTAAAAGAGAAGGCCTACTACAGGTACTACAGTTGAACTAGTAGACTCTAAGGAGCATTCTACGCTTCGACAAACATTTGGGTAACGTTGAAGTACCCCGACAACAACAGGTATCCCGTAGACTTTAATGGATTTCAGGGTCAGGTAAGAAAACAGAAATGTGGCCATATGATTTTAAACGTGCCAAAAAACTAATAACCTGAACATTGGACCTTTGTTGCTTACGTAAGATAAGATGTCACGGCGCCTGATACATGTATCTAATTTAGATTGTGAGAGGAATTTTGTATGATATCACGAATAGGGCATCAATCTGAGTTCCGTGATAGAATGTCACATTGAACAAAGTCAAGCATGGTATTGAACCGGGATGCTGAAATTCAGACGCACCCTGTGTTCAGTTGAGTGAGTTGTCTTTTTTGTTTTATTCTTTTAACTGTTGTAGAAATTTATACAAGAAGAGAAATGCAGATCTGTCATTTTCATTAAACCAAAATGTGTAAGATTGCACTGAATAGGAGTACTTTCATCTTTTCTGTAAACGTTTTTAAAATTATGTCTACTACGGTGGTAATTAGGTGGAGTACATATCGCCACGATTATTTAAATATGCGTTTTAAAAGTGTCTTTCGGTCGATATTTAGTAGTTAGATGGTACGGTAAAATTTTTATACATCTTGTGCTGTTCTCTTTTATAAATCTGACACGTGCATCTGAACCCCTAATATATTTGACTTGTGAATAATTTTTTCATACATCATATTTTTCATCTCATCTATTCAAGGTGGATTTGAAACACATTTCACAACGCGTTAGAGGTTTTGAAAAATGCAGTAGTTTCCACAGTATTGGGTTTCTAGCAGTAGCGTTTTATTATTTTAAAGAGTGGTGAGGTTAAGTGTACGTGACGTCAACGCCATAATATTTAACATATTTCAGAAACCTGATTAATGTGACGTGACACGCGTCTTATTCTCCTTAAAAAAAGCTTGGATAAGACTGCTGTGAATGATGTGAAATGTAACGAACCTTGCCAAGGTCGCACTTTGCGCCCAATTAACATTATTTATTGCACAATAATTTCTCAAACCTTGAAGTAAGACGAAGGCATTTGTTGTTCAACCTGATATTTATATACTAAAATGACGGCCTTGACAATTTATCTTGAATTTCAAATTTGGATATTTAACAAGTTCATTGAAACTGTTAATTTTTATGAATGTCTCCAAAATTTAGCCACAGTATATAAAATAGCAGTCATGTCACATCGTTTTTTATCATGGAATTGGTTATGTTACGAGGTAGATAAAAAGTTTTCTCTCGCGACGGGGTCTTTAATTTAAGCGCTTCGTGCCCTTGGACATGTCGGCACAATATATTTCATTTCACGTGATTTCTTTAAAAATTTCATACTTTAATGATTTCTTGACTTTAACATTTGTCACAAGTTCTATTTGTATAAATACTGGGCTATAACTCAATGTTCATTTTCACAGCCAAATAGTTCTGAACCCATAATTTTAATTCTATTACTAGAACAACGGCTACGTTCCTTCACAAAGCCCTGTAATTTATCTAGTAGGGAATTCCAACTTCTGTACATGTATATATTAGCGTTTTTATGAGGAAACCGTAAACCCCTCCAGCTGCTATTCAAACTTAAACCAACTGGGACTTATGTATTGCTTTTTCTTAACTAAAAAGCCATTCATTTTCTTTCAGGCTTAGCAAGTAAAAGTCCAGAATCATTATCACTGTAGAGCTTCACTGAAACGTTGACATTACCTCACGTTGCGTCGATTTTCACAAACCGATTAAAACAGAGAGCAAGTGACCTTTGTAAGGGGCAAATATTTAGCAACGTACTCGGAACTTAACCATGGTCGATTAACCAGCGTCAGGAAGGGAAATAAGAAAGAGAAAATGAAGCGCGCGGAGCCCCTTATTACCGTCCGCCAGAACAAGCGCACGTCTTTCAAGACGATGTCGCAAATGAGCGGGGACGACATCCAAACCCTAAAGCGGACGAAGAAGAGCGAAATAAGCCACGAGGCCCTATGTTATAACGTGGCCGCCAACAGGGCGCTTAAAAAGCAACTGAGCCAATGGCATAGAGAACATAACATAATCGTTGGCAATATCAAACGAGGACAGCACTCTGTTTACAAGACGATGCTCAGAGTGAACATGGACAAGAAACGACTTCAGTATGAAGCGTACAAAAAAGAGCAAGAAAAATACAGGGTTATCATGAGCCAAAACAAAGAAAAGATTAACTTGATGGTGCTGGACAAGTTATCTCATTCGGACACATCTGATCCGAAAGGAAAGGGCAGCAAAATCGTTTCTTTGTATACGGATGCGAAAGGAGACCCCAGTTCGTCCACAAAACCCCAAAGTTCAAAAGGACATAAGGAGCATGAGAACAGTGTGGGTTTAACCTTGGATTTGGCAGACTCAAGAGGATTTTACCTAAGTACGAGCCACGGTGCTAATATTGACAGTGACACCGCTCGGTGCAGTAATGCAGAAACAAACACAAATACTGCCTCACCGACCAAACCGACTCCTTGTGCGGTGCGTGATACCACGAAAATAAACCCATTAAAGATCGAGGACAAGGACGCGGTTTCTGTTCCTAATCACCCCTTCAGCGGTTCAAATGACAACGTAAAAAGCAGCAGCGATTTTGATGGGAATTCAGACACAGGGAAAAACAGATTTGAACGTAAAACAAAAGTTGTAGAAGTGACTAAGGATTCGACCAAACCTCTCGTAAGAGAGAAGTCGGAAGGAGAAATCCAAGTGAAAAATAAAACATCTTCCAGCAGACTTAAATTGCCGCCTTTGAATGAAACAGTCACGCACTCTTTACCCAATAAAGGGACTACCTCAAAACACGATGAAACAGACAGCAAAGCAACAAAACCTGACATTCTCAAAATTGGACAAAAACGCTGTACATTAAAAACTGAGCCTTCCCTAAGAAAGCTTTCCATAATTGACGAGAGTAATGAATCGTCACTGAATGGCTCGGTGAAAAATTTAAACTTGATTTCCGCAGCCAGCGATACTTCTCCAGTATTACCTATGTGTGAGCATAGAAAAAACACAAAACAAGTTACTTCGCAGCAAAATGATTTCCAGTTATTAACAAGTCCTTCCTTATCGTTTTCTGATAGGAAACATTCTGTTAGTTCTACCAGCTCAAATAAGGACAAGAAATTCAGCTTTGTGGAATACAATAAGAGAAAAAGAAAAGAGCGAGAGCGAAAAGTGAAAGAAGCCTTATCAGGGCTGCCTCCCATATATGTCAAAGACGAACAGGGCAACGTTGTTCCTCATCACTTGGAATTCAGAAGAGCAGAGTTCAAACTACCAACAAATGCGAAAAAGAGACAGTTGCAGCAACTTCGTGAGGCCGAGATGTTGCACGGGAATCATATTGGTGATAAACTACACGATTTTCATCAAAAGTATATCAAAGAAGGTGAGTTGAATTTATATGAAAAAATTGAAAATAAGTTGCTTTTCTCTGCTTCGTAAAGATCTGCTTATTAATGGAAGTTATAGAAAGGATGAAAAACAGGAAGGAGAGTATAAATGAAAAAAAAACCCAGCATGTTAATCTTAATGTGATGTCCTTAAAGCAAGTTTTAAAGTCGATAGGTCGCACTTGATACGTAATACTCAAGGCGAATAGAAACCTGTATTCCCTTAAGATATTTGTCTTTTTCTCCGTCGACCACAAAGATCTTATAAAAATAGAACCCGAGAAAGCGAACAAATATTTGCAAAGAGCGCTTCCAAGCTCGTAAAAGCTTCTTTTTAATTATTCTCTTTTAGTCTCAAATAAAAGAAAAAGAAACCAAAGCAAATATAAATTTTCATCCCCAGGAAGCACGCTTTTGTAAGTGAAGAACATCATGAAAATATGTTGGCGCTTTGAGTGTTAAGCCAGTAATGCTGACATATTGACATTGCCGATTACATTGATATTTATGGTAAATAGAACAACCTCATGCTCCTCGCGTGTAAATTTGAACATAATTTGTAGTCCAAATAACTTCAACATTAAAAAGGTCTCCATAAAAGATGTAATATGAAAGTCTTTGTATCGCATCAGATGTGATCAATTGCAATCTGTTGTATTCTTTCTGTCCTCTGGTATGTGAATGATTTAGTGGAAAACGGATTACGCTGGTAAAATAAAAGATGTCAAATGGTAGTTTAAGTTACAAGTAATCATTTTAATATTACAGATGTATTCTTTTTTTTTAAACAATTGTGCAAAAACCAAACAAATTTAATTGTAAACCAGTTGTAAGTACTTCAAAGTGTTTGCAAAATTTACCAATTTTAGAGGTGTAATGTAAAGATTAAAAAATTAAGTGAAATAAAACACTGAAAACACCAACGCTGGTTAGATCTATCCCTTCCACGGGAATTCAGAGCTACAGGATAGCGACAAAACCAATCAAGTGATCAGATATAATTAGGAATCGCACTTACGTTTTATTTGCTAAAAGCACAGCTGCAAACATTAATACGTAGGCCATTCAACAAGTTACGACTGAATAGAGAAATTGAATGATATGAATTACCGGCGATGTTGATTCGGCCGTAAGGAGAATTGATTCAGTAGGATTTGTCGATTAAGAATGCACGAATGAAAAAGGGCAAATGAAGTATGGAATAAAAGATAGCAATATTCACAACAAAAGATTCACTGAATTTGCTTAGATTTGTTTGACATCGAAAAATTAAAAGTTGGCATGTTTGCAGAACGCCAATTTCAATCTTACCGATTATCTGTCACGGATATTACTACTGAGAAGTATCCAATAACATTTAAAGCGGTCATATAAGTAGATGATGTCATTTATAAAATAAAACAGGGGATGGTTGTATCAAAATATTATCAAGGCATATCTATTGACCTTTAATCAAAGTAGAATCGTCATATTTAACCGCGCCTTGCACTCTGGTTTTAGAATCATAACGATAGAGCAGGGAAGGTACATGATATGGGCCTTAAGTGCGGCCCAGAGTAGGGGTTTGTGAGATCCAGTAGTCCTACTTTTTATTTATGATTAACTGGTTTATTTGATGCCGTTTATTTATTTATTTATTTATTTATTTATTTATTTATTTATTTATTATTATTTTATTTTTTTGTAAACTATCTTCAACTACGTATTACTTGTTTGAAATAACTAAAAGAGCGTTTTCAAATCGTGATTTTCAGACGACATGAGGAAGCAAGCACTCCGAGAAGCAGCAGAACAGAAAAAAATGGAAGAACCCGATCCATCAAAAACGGAAGTCAAACCAACCAGGATGCTCGGCCTCGGAGCGGCGTGGAGCACAGCTCTCGCAAACACGACTGCAAAGTTCATGAAGAGTGACCTTGATCCAAATTCCAGCGAAGGGCTTCAACAGTGCGGTTATCTGAGAAGCTTTGACGTTGATTTAAAGTATGAAATGAAAGCAAAAGGAGAAAGTTACACCAAGAGATCAAGTTGGAAATCGAAAGCATTGTAAGAACTTCTCATGGGTCGAAAGCTTTAAGGCAGTGTCCAAACCATTGTGTTTGTCACATCTGTAGCAATCGGAGATCGTGCCGTCATGTCGTGAAGATGTTATTCCGTCTTCTGTCGTTTCTTCACCTAGATTTTTATTCCAAAAAGTGGTGCGAGTAATGATAAACAAGAACAATTTGTAAAAAATGTAACGTTACAACTGAAATAATTTTTACTTTACTGTTTTGAGAAAGTGTACTTCTAGGTTTTTACACAAACTTTTAATGCAGATTTTTTTTCTTTAATCGACCCGAAGGTCTATGAACGAGAGTTTTTTTTCATACATGTACGTTTTTTTTGCAACGGACCATACTTAACACCATGTTTGGTGGCAAGACATTTTCTTTCTTTTAAGAGGGTGGCGTGAGCTCAAACCTAGTTAATAACGAGAAGTTAAGAAACAATTCCTATTATCGATTGGGATAAAATGGAGCCATAAATGGCCTTAACACTAACGCGACTTAATTGTCGATTGTAACTCAGAATGGAAGTTACACAAAAATCAAGGTGCACAAATAAAAAAAATATATTTTTAATCTGTAGACTAGCCTCATTTCATTTCCCCACTATCATAACAGCACTCTTCTTATTTTACATAACAAATGATTTAAAACGTCGTTAAGAGTAAATGCAAACGACAGGTTTACCATAGGCCTATAACCGACCTTAGTAAGCCAACGACGTCGAAATTAGCCGTGTAAATTTGTCGGTGTCTTTGCAAAATTAAGCTTAAATATTCAAAACAAATCCACATTTCTGCACAAGCAAAAGTCGTATACAGCTTCAACCGATTCCTCAATAACCGAGTCCTCAGCAATGAAAATACGCTAGGCGATGCGCGATTGCATTTAATTGCAAATTCACAGCTAACGCTTGATTGTGTTTTCACACCTAACACATTCAGTCGTTGTGCTACTCCATGACCGGCGGTGCCCATACCTGAGACACAGGGGCTGGGAATTCTATGTAAGCTGATCTAGAACTGTATTCATCCACGCTGTCGTAATCCAAAGGTTTAAATGTCATATTTGGCACACGCGAATTTTGGATATTTTCTCTCCATTCGTCATCTGGGGTGCCCGGAAGAACGAGAGGAATCTGCTGCATGCGGCGTATGCGAGATGTTTCCATCATCCGCGATGAGTAATAATCCTTGTGTATATTTGTCTCCATTTCAAGTGATTTAATAGAATCACAAAATCCACGCATTCTCTCCTCCATGTTATCCCATTTTAGCTGAGAGTCCTTCAAACTGACATTTCTATATGCATTGTCGTTCGTGGAAGGAATTTTGTATCCATGGTTGTGTTTCTTTCCTTTTCTTTTGCACAATTTGCTGGATTTGCTCAGATTTTCTCCAGCATCTGATGACGAACCCATTGTACCTGCAAATTGGGTCGTGCATGGGCGGTGGGTGCTTACATTTGGCAAATCTTCCAAGTCGTCCAATAAATTTCTGTCACTGGGCGAAGCTGAACCTCTCAATTCTCCAAAGGAAATGGAATACGCGCGTTTTTGTTTTGCCGGTTCTTTTCTAATTTTCTTATTATCGCAGTTTATGGGTGGTAAATCTTGTTTCATTTTCACTTCGGTCGGTTCTAAAACGTCATTAGGTTTTGTGCTGGCCTTCTCTAAATCGCCGTCCTCGTCGTTTTCTGACACTCCGTCTGGAGTTACAAGCTCGAACGCCGTCGTTGGTCGAAGTTCCACGACTGGTTCTGCAATACTGACCACGCTCTTCGGTCGTAAAAGGCGCGCAATTTCATCAAAATTAAGGCACGTTTTGTCTCCCAGTGATTTGCTGCGCGATGGTTTAGATGGATACTCTGGGAACGCAGGCGTTGGCGGCTGAATTGGAAGCGGTTTCCTGACCGGACCTCCGTCAAGCCCCGGTCCAAACGACCTTGACTTTCTGTTGAGTATCTTCTTTAACATTAAATCGTTATCTTCTGCATTTCTGCTGCGCTGCTGTTCGTTATTTTGGGCTCGAAGGGCCCTTTCTTGTTCTCTATCCCCCATCATACGCGCATACGCAAGGCGCGACAGTGAAAGCTGTCGAAGGAATCGTTTATGTATGACACGTTGCTCTGTGGCAATTTGATTTACGACGTTTTTCTCGGTCTTGTTTAAAAGCTGAAGAGTCTTCTGCAAGCCCGTCTCTTCTTTCCAATTTGCTGACTGAACCTGAGGAGATCGCTCAGACATATTCAAAAATTCCGGGCGACCACTTGCTTCAACTTTCTTGGAATTGAAAAGTGTAGCCATCTCTCTTTTCTGAATCCTAAAGTGGACAAATTATAACGTATTATTTTCGACGAGATCAAAACCTTCACATGTTTCAGAGTAGATAGTTTGACCGCTAACTCACCTGATTATGCGAATTGCCAGGTGCTAGGGATATGTACAAATCCCTAGAAATTTCATTAAATCGAACCTAATGAATAACACCAATCTTTCCGTGTTTTCTCATATACTCCTCTCATTACTGAGGCGACCTTCGTCCATTCGAAGTTATGCATATAGAATGAGCTGTGGAACCAAGCAGTCCAGTGCTTTAATGCTGTTCTTTTGAATACTGTTGTCCTTTTCCTTCTGCACTTACAATCTTAAACTGGCTTAAATTTTTTCTTGTAATTTTGCGAACTGTTTCAATCCCAATGCATAAGCTTTCTCTCTTTCATCCTTTTCCAGTTAATGTCTGATTTCAATGTGGCTTGATTTGCCGCGGTCTGCTGTCTGAGCGTTCAGTATTTACAAAGAATTAATAGACACAAAATATCACTCATGTAGCCGCCAAATGATAAGACCTTTCCTCTCAACCAGCGAAGACTAATACCGGTAACGTTCCTCCCCACCAAGCTGTTGTCAACTGTTACACAGCTATACCTCTCGCTCAGTGTCGAAATTCCTCGTCGTTATGGGATCCCCCGGTTTGTTTCAAGGCTGTCTGTTCCTTATTAGCTTATTACCTGCGTCAACACATCATTGGTACCTCTCTGTGTTCAAACTGGCCAGTTTGCCTTGTTCAGGGTGACCAAGGTGAGCGCTTTAAGACCTAAATCGCCTCTCCACGTTCAAACAGGAGACTCACATTTTGATTGCATTCACGGTAAACATGATCGCTATGCGGCTTGGAGACGCTGGAAGATATCGGATGGTCCGGCCAGGTGGTAGGTCAGGTGATTTCGATACCTAGACAACGGCAATTTGCAGTGTCAAAAATTGTCAGTTTTTTACGTAGGTCTTTTCATTGTTGTGCCTAAAAATGGAGAAGTAATTCCTCAGCGCGTGAGTGAAATAGATTAGTTTTTTATAACTAGCGTGCATGATTGTACATATTTTAAATTATCTCTCAAGTTACAAAACAGCTTACAAAAATGATAAAAATTCCAGAGCAATGAAAGGTGAAACAGTAGAAAGTCATTGGTGAAATTAAAATATAAATCACTCGGATCCTTTTCAGTTGATATTTACTTTAAAATCCATCGTGAACTTTTGTCTAGAATGATAGGTTCAGCATGGCGATCACTAACGACAAACATTAGCCTTGACAATCACCTCATTTGATTTCCATCATGCGTAGAATCATATTCCAACCCATGCAAACATTAATTTGTGCCCGCTGCACCTTCACGGTGGTTAAGACGTAGAGCCCGTTGCTTGGTCTCAAGGGGTCTAACAGGAGAAAATCACCTATGTTTAATTAACAAACACGTCCTTCAATTAAAGCGCGATTTCTCATGGCCGCATTCTGCTTGCTATAGCGTGATTATTTTATCAAAACGAACGCATACCGACTTTTGTTCGTAGTATAAAGTAATCAAGGTTAGAGACGATGTAATGTGCATAAAGGGATTAAAGACCGCTTATCTTTTCAACTTTGCTGGATCCAGAACTTGGTCACTATCTTTAACACCAGATGCGAATGCTCTCATTTAATTTTATCAAAAACCGCTAAATTATCCGCCCATAGACGGTATAAGTGAAAATTGGCTGATAACTATGATGTATGAGGCAAAATGCTCGTAAATTTCTCAAGCATGAGAGCTTAAAGGACAGAAGTTCGAATACTGCTTGATAGCTTTTAGAAGCTTGTGGACGTGGTGTATTTATCAAGTTTTTTTTCTTTTTTTTCTCGCAGCTGGGTGAGATATTTCCTTTTTCGAACATAGAATGTCTGTTCACTGGCCCCATTGCAGTTTTAATATATTATTCACACATTTTATTGACAAAAAGAATGAACTAAATAATGAAATGTACCGAAAATTTCTTTTGACCCATGCCTGCAGACACAAAAGTAGAGATAGGAGGAAGAGGCGTTTCGTAGAATACAGAGAAGATGGTGAGTTGGAAACAAGCGGAGCCATTTTAGTCTGTTAATCTGACTGCATTCAGCGAGAGTCCCCGTGGAGTTAGTGCGCACTGGCTTGTTTTGAATGGCCCCTTCGACACCAACGCTGAGACTGATGACGAAAAAAAATCCCGGACATGTCTTAAAACGTTGGTCCAGACAACATGACCCTCTAGTCAATAAATATTCAGTACGTTGTTTGCTCACATACCTAGACCATACTGATTAATGTCAGAAGTGTTAAGTAATTTGTAAACATCTAGGTTTGTTAATTACAAAAAAAAAAAAAAACAAAGAAACAATGGCATTTTTTCGAGTAGATCCTGATTTTTTACTGTTTTGAATATTTATTTTCAGTGAGGCATAAAAATCATCTATGTACACAAGTGGTAGACGAAGTATCTATAAAGCTGGATTTACTTTAGATCCTCTGAACGACTCCAAGCATATTTTCATTTTTCTATTCAGGTATTATATACTGCATCGAATATAATACATTTTGGATATATTTTGATCCTTTCTACAAATCTTTAAAACGTTACATATATTATTTCCCCATTGTTAAGTTAGGAATACAAAAAAACAATAGGGGCCTAATACAATACAACTGATGTATAAATACAGAAACAATTTCAAAAATACACTACAGATATCTTTAAGATGTTAGATACATTGCATACGAAAAAAAAACCCCATATATCTCCGCAACAGATTATGGATAATACAGCATCAGCTTCTTAGCATTTCATTTCTGACGTATTTGGATTTAGCCCATATAATTATTGTGTATCTGTTGTTTTTTCATTCCAAAACCGTTGGGGTAACGTTTGGGGGAAGTAACGGTGCAGGTAATATCATTATTTTGCTGATGGAGTAACCAAAAGAATTATCCTTTAACTATTGCGAATGAATATATGGTGAAAACTTAGGAAGTTATGGTTTCACTAATTGGGAGAGATATATGGTCGTTTTACCAAAATTACGCCTCGCGATTTCTTTGTACAATGTTGGCATGAAAGTGGCAGTAAAGCACCAAGTACCATTATGAATATATTCATATATTACCGCCACCTTAAGTCCATTCCATAGAAAATAATTAAATAGGAAACATAAAAAGGTAGCTAATTCACACTGTATCTATTCGTGAAAATATTGATGAAAAATCGTGACTAGAATAATATTTACACGTGTAGGACTCCCCTGACTGGCTAAGAGAGTTTCGGTCGCCATTCCATCACTTGAGTCTGGCGCAACAGTAAAACAAAGCCGAATGGAAAGTACACATGAAAGTGACACAGTAAACAAGCATATACAAGAAAATATTGACAAAATGTAGCTGTGATGAAAGGCCTTTACAAAGTTAAGATTACATGAATAACTACAAACAACTAACTAAGATCTCTTTTTAAAAGATCTAAATATTGCAACTGTCTCTAATTATGAATAAATATAAAATTTACATCAATACACATAGGGCCTATAAGAAAAAAAAAATAAAATTTGAGCATAATCCTTCATGTAGCTCCTATTTTGTAATCCCTATTTGAGAGCTACAAAACCTTGTTATAGAGGCATTGCTTTGGTACTGAGCAGATTTCACGACAGACTCGTTTAAGATGACAAGTGATGAAAGCAGAATACTGATGACTGGTAAGTAATGCATTTAAAATAATCCCTCTTGGCACGACTGTTTTTAAAACAACATTTGCATCAAACCCTACGTACTGTCTGTGAAGATATGAAGAGGGGCTTATATCTTATCGTATGTCCATCTACCGCTGTTTGCTTCCTATTTGCAAATTATCCTGAGTAAAAACAAACAGGTCACGGTTGAGAGTGCGAACAGTGAAAAAGAACAACTATCGCAATCAATATGCATTCGGTCGTTTCTCATACGTTCGCCCCTATGGAATCTCCACTTAAGACAGTGAACGGGTCTTAATGGAACGCTATTGATAAAATTTAAACGACTTCTTCAGAACCGCTATGAAATTTCTTCGTACAGCGGCGCTGGGTCGGTCGGGATTTCTGACACTACGACAGCCGGCAGTGGGTTAAGAGTGGCGTAAGGGGGCGGGTCTTCTATATACGGCGGCAATGGAATCTGGTGCTGTGTCGTTATAACGGGAAGATGGCACACCACTGAACGGCGCTCCTGTAATATACAATATATAGTGTGACTTAAAAAACAACTGATGATATAGAATAACGGCTGTGATTTCAAAGTTTTCTTGTAGAAACGTTCTCACGTATTTTTTTCTTAGCAGATATGAAGATTTGATTTGCCTTTTTCACGTAACGAAAGAAGTTGACATAACCATTTCTGTTATTGTCGCTATCTATCTCAAATCCAAATGGTAATTATTCTTCTATATCCGACTCATTTTCTAGATGTCATTTATAAAACACTCTCGGAGAGAAAACTTTACTTACGGGCTTGTTGAAAAATTCGTATGTGCCTCTTCCGGCCCCTAACTCCGTATACTGGGTGTAGACACACATAAAACTGTACACCTAGTATATATACGAAAGAAAAAAAATGAAATATCTCAACTGCCACAGAATGACTGTACAGTCAGGATAATCAATTCAAAATAAAATCAAACTAAAGTAAGCATAATCTGGGTTACCCTTTAAAATTACCAACACAGTTATTACACTCAACAAACGAATTTCAACGTTTGAGTCTTTCAAAATTAACTTTCCTTTAATTATAACTTGGTAATATCATGAGAAAGAGAACACTGTTAGGCGTATTATTGAACAGCTGACGTGTAAATCTATGTCACACAAATGATTGTGTAAAACGACACTTACATTGCCTATCGTCCGGACAATAAAAAATGTCATAAAAACTATGGTCCAGTCACTAAACGCGGTCTGAAATGATAAAATGAATTGTGCATAACGTTACAGGGAACGAATATATTGACTCCATTGATAAAACGAGAGAATGTAGATACAGAATTCAATTTGGGCAGAGAGAGAGAGAGAGAGAGAGAGAGAGAGTACCCTCTACCGGGACCGCAGTTATCATTGTGGACATTTTTTTGCTGAGGCATCAGACCAAAATGACTGTCTATTATCTAGACATATCTGTGAATATCTTTGGAAAATCAATCAGTCGCCCTGGTAGAGAGAGAGAGAGAGAGAGAACGAAAGACTCGTTACCTCTTCTTGATGCGAGTGATGGACAGAGAGAAACATGACTGTCGCCAGCTCGTATATGACCAGCAAAGATACACCTAGGAGCCATGGGAACAGTAGATCTCGTTTATCCTGCAAATATGAAAATATATTTCGACATGTCCTCTAAATGATGGTTTTCATCACTTCAAACATTTTTTTTTACATTACTACTATTGAACTTAACCAATTCAACTTAAGGTCTATGCCAGCTGTATTGTTATTAAAATACTTTAATAGACCTGTGCAAAAGTTCCTCGATAAATAGATTAAACAATCAGCCGAAAATCTATTCACTACATGTTTTTCTTTGGTTATTTTTTTTCTATTGTGCTTTTATGAAAGCAAAAAGCATTCTCGCGAGCCGGATTTGAACCAGCGACCTAAGGATGCCTGATAATTTTCCACTACAGTCCTCCGCTCTACCAACTGAGCTATCGCGAGTACTGGCATGCACGGGCGCTATTATCTTTCTACCGAGCTCATCTGCTTTATCAGTCGGTATGAAGGTCATATATGCTATGAAAATTGTTTTCCTCAGGCGAGACACCAGTTGTACATACAAGTGGGTTATTGCTTTAAACAGCTGTTACATGCAGTCAATTTACATGCACTTAAAGCCGACAGAGAGATCATTTTTTAAAGATGAAAAATATGTACACTACTTCCATTTTTTTTCTTTAATAAATATTGTCTACTGTTTTATTTAGGACAGGAAAGCAGACAAGTAATTTCTTTCATTGAACTCCAGTTCGTATGTGACACTTGATGCGGTCAGCAAAAATGATTTTGCTTTTCAACATAACACTACTTTTCACACACACACACAAACACACAAATAATAAATAAATAAATAAATAAATAAATAAATAAATAAATAAATAAAAACCTGAGAATTTGCAGCCTTATACAAGTCAGTTGTTTACTGTGTCTACTGTGTTGCCCGGTGATTCCCCAGCAGTGCATTTAGAAAGCTTTAACGTTAGAATATCTTACCACATAAACTCCCGCCACAAGCGTTAGAGATACCACAATGTAGGCTGTGTAGAACACGAAGGACATATAGCTGACCACGCAGTAAGCTGGAAATAAGATCAAAATCAAAATTAATTAAGACAAACATGTTGCACTATCAGCACAAAAAGTTCTAAATTAACCAACATACAGCGATGTCTCTTCACTGGGGTATTTATTGAAGGAGATTAAAAAAATATATATATTTCAGTCATTAAAGATGGTAGGCCTATCTATGGCAGGTGAGACAGGGTTATAACTCTTTTTTTCGTGCTTTATAAATGTATGTTTCATGAACAGGATAAATTGGCTGTTAAATTCAACGGAGTCATGCTTTTTTTATTCATTATCAATCTTTATATTCATTTTTCGTATAAAAATGAAGAGCAATTTATAATAGAAAACCTTTCATGAAATGAATATAACCTGCGCAAAAAATGTTGTCTTCTGATAAAAGGTGAAAATTCGAGATCACGCAGTACAGTAATCATAGCAGAAGGACTTTCCGAGATGCAAACAACAATTTGTAACACACACAAATAGGTATATTTACGCAGGGAATGTCAGCGGTTGACTGGACATGGCGCAGAAGATAGCTGTATCTAAAATGACACCAATTCACTATATATCAAGCATTTCGCTTATGTGCATCTTAGCGTTCAGATACGCCATAAGGCTACTGCGCTGAACTATAAGTTCGTTAACTCTTCCGGGCACAGGTTAAGATGAGAGAGACATGCCGGCTATATTAGTCAGGTGCCCACACCCTTATACCTAGATATGACGTAAATAATAGAGGTCTCGTTAAAATTCACAATGACAGCGCGTCCATAAGCGGGCTAAATTATAGTTAATTTGTTCATATCAAAAGCTCACCTGTGTATTCTTGTATCTTGTTGTTGCCAACGTATCTTACCAGAAACAGAGATATGCAGATCACTGCGACACACTGAAGGAAGAGATAATTTAGAAATTATATTACTTGCGATAAAGCATACGTAAAAAGGAAAATTGATAGTTGGCCAATTATGCAATAATTATATAACAGAACATGCATTAAATAATCATTACATTTTAAATAGTGACTAACGATCGCATATCAAAACGCAGATGAATGTAACTTTGAAGTTGTCTTAATCATGTTAGATGCATTTGTGAAACATTGCGGGGCGTTGCAGAGTCGTTTGTTATGGGAAGTATGGGATGTGTTACGGATGGTATTGAACATTGAACCCGAAGACAGTTAGTTTGCGCAAAATAACGCCCACAAACGGTTGCTTTATCATGAACGAACACACTTTAGCATTTTACGGGGGTGTTTTGTGTTCATGGATTTTCATACACATGAGAGTGACATAGAACAAAGGGTATTGAGGTAAAAGGAAAATAAATCAAATCCTTAATCGTGAGTCATTTTCCTCCTGAGAAATTAAAAAGAACGTTCTGGATATTTGTGAGCGGAATGTCTATTGATAATTGTTTTTGAAATGTTGATTTTTTTAATCCCAAATGATTATTTTTTTTCGAAAGGCTATACGTGCTTCATTGCTCAGATTTTAATACATCTCTAACTTATGTGAACACGATCTTTCTAAGGACACAATAAACGTTTTAAATCAAAGGGGAAACAAGCTTTTTTTGTGATTTAAGATCAACTGGCGATATTAAGTCACTTATCGTGCGAAATAAGTAGTGTTTGTGACAACTTGACATTCTCTTTCAAGACACCAAATAGCTACATGCGGTCATTTAAAATGAAAACTATTGCATCTGAGGGGATAGAAAATGTATGACCTTATTTTATGTCGTTCAACAATTTTAGGTTTAGTAATATTCAACTGTAAAACTGCACCTGAGAAATGACTTTCTTTCAAAAAACGGGAACTGTTGAAAGTTACATTAAAAATCCCTATATATTTTGTTTCACACCACAGTAACAAACAATAAGCAATAAGCTTCAAATAGCGTTTAATGCCTCTATTTACTCTGAGGTCGTTAAACTTATAATGAGTGGATTAACTCTGTTCAGTCTTTGACATAATGCTAACAAACAAACTAAAAAGTCAGATTAAAGTTTTCACGAGAGAAAAACGAAGGCCATTGTGTGCAAGCGTTCTTCAACCATGTTACGTAACAACAACACCGACACCCTGTAGTTTACTGAGATTTAACAATACCAGTCTCATGCATTTACCTGACGTGTTGTTAAAATGCCCTTGACTGTAATTTGGCTCTACGCTTCAATGGTAATTTTAGCTTTTAAAATGGCGCAACAATTCGTTCAACCCATATATAATACACTCGTGGTGACAGGAGGCAATACACCTGCATTTGCCGTCTAATGTTTAACTAGGCAAGTAATTAAATCAGGCTGTTCACTATACATGAACGTTTATAGTCCGAACCCGCGTTGTTACTTAGAACACCACGTTTCAGCCTCTAAACAGATTCAACTTGAAGCCAGTTTCACAAAGAGAAAATTTATGATTTAGTGAAGCAATTTAAAACGCCATGGTTGGTTTTATTCCAAAATATTTTACACAAGACCTTAAATTGCAGTTGGGTCAGTCTGATGGAGCATCATCAGCGAAAACGCGCCAAAAAGACCTTGAGGGTGTCTCCATTATCGTCTGCCGCCTTTCGCTGCAAACGAGAATCTTGTCCATATAAATGACGCATGAGCTTGGCCTGCAGGGGAAATGTTTGTCCTTCGACAAGTTTAAGTGTAGGTTAGACCTAAATGATGCATCCGTTTGCCTTGCAATCACGGACACAAACTTTCAACGCTTTAATTATGCTTTAGCAATCGTAATTTTGAGGGTGTAAATAAATAAAGGGTATTTGGAAATATTTTAGAAATATTTTAAGCTCAAAACATCATCGGCCCATTTCCAAACCTGGCTAACGAACAAATATTGTATCAGCTGATTCAAAAGATACGAAAAAAAAAGCAGTGTGCGTTAAACTATTTCGTATTTCAAATGTTTCCAATTCCATATTGAAAGCACCAAATGGCGTCGCATTCGAAACCTGTTGTAGTGTCAACATCAGCAGACGACAATCTGCATCTTTCCTTCAGGCACGAATCTTTTTGCAACAAACCGACGAGCACAATTATTGTAGATTAGAGAGCGATAGATGGTATCTCTCAGCGAGTTGGCCCGATCGCAAAAGGCTTTAATTAATGGGCCTAGCGCCCGTGTTATCATTACACCATTGTTAAAAACCTGACGCTGGAGACGAAGATAAGTTTCGAGATAAGTTGTATGCAATTCCGTTTTTTATCACGGAATCTGTGAATATAACTTCTAAGTAAAGGGGGTAAACATAGAGAAAATAAGAAAATATGGTGGTGATGGAAGCACTGATTATTTGTAGGGTGATGAAAATTAATACGTAACAAATGCATTAAAATACAAGACCTAGACCCTGAAAGATCCACAGTTAACCTGATGCACATTTTTCCCAATCAGAAAAGGAAACTTTATTTTTGCAGATACCTAATTATATTTATTTCCCATTTATAATAATCACAATCTCCTCACGCATGTGTGTTGTATTTCGTGGATGTTCTAAGTGAACCCGTTTGTGTTTATATCAACGCGGACACTGCGTCATTGAATACAAAGGCTGCACTGACCTATCACACGTGTAAAATGTCGCTAACAAACAACCGACAAAAGGTGAATTCAGTGCTTAGCGAAGTTTTTTTCGAGCACTGGCATATATACACACCATATTGGCTTAAGCTTGTGCAGGCAGCATTTATTAACAGAAAGGGCAGGTAAACACTATTTATGTTCTGCGTGAAGAAATACCACACCATTATCTTTCAATGTAAGTTCAGGTCACAGAAATTCAAAGATCTCGATAAAAAAACCTTGTAAACGTTCACCTGTAAATATATCTTATGAAAAAAAAAAATGAAATCTCTTCAACACTCACCAAACTGTAGAAGGCAACCATCATTGATCCAGTGCGGGTATTCCAAAAGAAAAACTTTTTGATGACAGCCATTTTCCAAAGGTATCCTCAGCGTCCCCAAAACTGCAGCAGCTCTGCTCCCTGGCGCAAACCTGTCTGACCGGAAATCTCCCAATAGCTTGAGGCACTGATAAACAAGCAAGGGTCTCACCCTCGTAACAAGGCTCGCCTTTAAACGTCCCCACTGTTGTTTTATCTATTTACAAAAGGATTAAAACGTCCGGTCTATCGCGCATCAACCTGCTAATTACCCAGCCGCTAACTCCTGGTTCTCACGTATTAAATCCCGTGGTTAAAGTATCCAGTAAAAGCCAAGCGAAATCTATTCAACTTCAGTCTTAAAGTCGTCTGAAGTCATGTAGCACACACCGGCTGCACATCTGCTTCCAAAGTCGTGACTGTCCGCGGAAGACTGTCCTCTCTCCATATTATACATACCAACATAGTTAAAATCTAATATGCAAAACTAAGCTAACTGGCAAATTAAGTTATATCAGCGAATGTGAATAATTCATCACGGTAACTATTGTTGGAGATTTTACCTTATCTGGGTTATCTTTCACTGGAATCTTTTATCAGTAGTCTCGCAGGCCTTTTTAAGTTTTGAAAGTGTTTACTCTTTATACTCCTCTCAATTGCCTCAACAGATAAAGAACGATGTAGATTACGTCGAACAATAGAATACACGGGTATAGTCGAGTATAGCCATCCTTGACCCTACATGTTGTCTAGGACAGACGTATCGATGTGGTCGTTCACCTTATTTCGTCAGGTTCTCTGCCGAAGAGTGTTTACCGGGTCAGTTTTTAAATCCCGTCTACTCGACACTAAAACCAGGACTGAGTACAATGGCTTCAATTTGATGAAAACAACACGTTGTCGCCTTGTATCGATTTGCTTGTTAAACCCAAGTGTGGTTTCTATAAACACATATTAGGTACACTTTTTTTATTTTGGTATTTAACGCAGGCCGGTGCAGACCAGAATCAGATGACATTTTAGGAAAGTGTAAACAAGACTTGAGACAGATGCAATCGGTCAACCTGCCGTCTCAGGTAAAAAAGTTTATGGCAGGTAGCGGATTAATTGTTGTGTTCTTCAACAACAGGTTGCGCCTCCGTGACTGAATGTAAAATAAATGATCAAACTACTTCATTGCCTAGGTATGATAAACCTTATTATATTGTATGTATAACTTACTTTCATGTTTAGTTTATCAACGCAGGTTTAACAATCTTTAAAACTGGGTCATGGTTTTAAAATGAAACATTTTATTATATTCCTCAAGTATATTGTCTAAAACCAACGAAGCGATATGTCCGATCGCACGCCGACATCTACGTATGCGTTGTCCTTTTATAAACCCACGATGTATTTCGACGATCACTTACTGGTAGAGAGCGTTGGGGCTTCGGATTTAGTTTGTTAGCAAAGGCCAAGTGGGAGATAAGGGTCAAGTTCGACCGATTCTTGTTACAAGCGGTATTGCACTTGCAAATACAACACAAAAAGATTACTACAGGCCAGGCTCAGCCAACCGTGCGTGATTGAACATTGCCTCTTATGTGTAACAGCAAGTTTTCGGACAAAAATGTCAGATTTAAGATAGAGGTAAATCGATTTGCTGAGGTAAGATGTCTCTCTATTGAGAGAGAGAGAGAGAGAGAGAGAGAGAGAGAGAGAGTATAAAAATTAAATATTCCATAAAATATAGATTACAAGTAAATCAATATATTGTTTTATATTGTCACAGCTGTGTCAGGCCGAAAAGCAAAAGTCATGCACTGTATTTGACCAAGGAGTTATAACAGATAACTCCTTGATTTGACCGCACTTCTATATCTGAGGACATTTTCATAAATATATAATAGCATTCGACCATCCAATATGAATAAAATTTGAGGAAAATAAACAAATATCAGTAAATAAATGGATATTCAAAGCAATTCAACAATTCACTTGTTATAAAACAATATATCAATAGAAAGAGTCACTGAAGAGTCAGTAAATACGTCGGATTAACCAATACATTTCTAATTCTGATATCTCTACATGAGTGTGGGTCTCAGTGCGAGTCCTGAGAGGATATTTCTTTCTCTCTTAGTCTATCTATCTTTCTTTCTTTTCTTTTGCCGTCGATGTTTATTCCTGTTGCGCTGTGCATGCTACAGGCCCGTAGCCAGGGGGGGGGGGGGGG